GGGGGGGGGGGTGAAGGGTGGGGGGGGGGGGGGGTGAATGAGGTGGGGGGGGGGAAGGTGAGCCGTGGGGGGGGGTGAAGGGTGAGCCGGGGGGGGGTTGAAGGGTGAGCCGGGGGGGGGGGAAGGGTGAGCCGGGGGGGGGGGTTGGGGTGAGGTGGGGGGGGGGTTGAAGGGTGAGCCGGGGGGGGGGGGGGTTGAAGGGGAGCCGGGGGTGGGGGGGGGGTTGAAGGGTGAGCCGTGGGGGGGTGAGGTGGGTTGGGGGGGGGGTGAAGGTGAGCGTGGGGGGGGGGTTGAAGGGTGAGCCGTGGGGGGGGGTTGAAGGGGAGGGGGGGGGGGGTGAAGGGTGAGGGCCGGGGGGGGGGGGGGTTGAAGGGTGAGCGTGGGGGGGGGGTTGAAGGGGGAGGGGGGGGGGGGTGGGGGGTGAGGGGGGGGGGGGGGGGTGAGGGGGGTGGGGGGGGTTGGGGGGGGGGGGGGGGGGGGCGTGAAGGGTGAGCCTTGGGGGGGCGGCGGTTGAAGGCAGACATTGAAAAACTTCAATGTCTTCAGCCGAGGTAATTTTCATACTGATTTTTGTGTCATCTACAAAGGATGACACAAAGCTGTGACTTGTATTTTCGTCTATATCTGATATGAGAATAAGGAACAGCAGCGGTGCAAGGACTGTACCCTAAGGTACAGAGCTTTTAACTGCGCCTGGATTCTATTTTACGTGATTGACTGTTACTCGTCGTGTCCTGTTCGACAAAAAACCGAGTATCCAGCGTCCTACTTTACCGGTTATTCCCATTGACCTCATTTTGTGTGCTATCACGCCATGGTTACATTTATCGAACGCCTTTACGAAGTCCGTGTATACAACATCTGCATTCTGTTTTTCTTCTAATGCCTCAGTGACTTTGTCGTAGTGGTCAAGTAGCTGTGAGAGGCACGATCTTCCCGCTCGAAATCCATGGTGGCTTCGGTTGTGGAGGTCATTGGTCTCCATGAAACTGGTGACCTGACTCATGATCACTCTCTCAAATACTTTTATTATGTGGGACGTTAGTGAAACTGGTCTATAATTCTTTGTCAATGCTTTGCTCCCTCCCTTGTGTAGAGGGGCTATGTCTGCTACTTTAAGTGCCTCTGGTATCTCCCCCGTGTCCAAGCTCTTCCTCCACACTATACTGAGTGCCTGTGCTAATGGCACTTTGCATTTCTTTATAAATATCGAATTCCATGAGTCTGGACCCGGGGCTGACTGCATGGGCACATTGTCAATTTCTCTTTCAAAATCTGCCACGCTCGTGTTGATATCAGTTATATTTACAGGGGTTTGGATATCACGCATAAAGAAGCTGTCCGGATCCTCCACTTTCATGTTGTGTATCAGAGTGCTAAACATGTCCTCATACTGCTTTTTAAGGATTTCACTAATTTCTTTGTCATCCTCCGTGTATGAACCTTCACTAGTACGAATAGGTCCAATACTGGCAGTGGTTTTTGCTTTCGCATATGTGAAGAGATATTTTTTATTTTTATTTTTTCCTGAGTTGCTTTAGGTTCTAACTGCCTTTCTTCAGTCTTATACGAGTGTTTCAATTTCCGCTCGATTTCTTCAATCTCCCTATTTAAATTATTCCTTCTTTGACGGGAAAGTCGTGTCTGCTTAAACATTTTTCGTTTCTGTCTTTTTTTTGTTTGAGATATATACAAGAGTCGTTACATTCTTGTACAGCCACTAGTACGCGTAGCGTTTCGGGCAGGTCCCTGGAATACGATCCCCGCCGCGAAGAATCGTTGTTACAACCAAGTACACATTTTACTGTTGCGTTAAACAGAGGCTACAGTCAAGGATTTGCGCCCAGTAAATCCTCCCCGGCCAGGATACGAACCCATGACAAAGCGCTCGCGGAACGCCAGGCGAGTGTCTTGTTGTGTCGTCTGCGTTCTCTTTCTACGTTGGACCTTTTTCCGGTTCTCCTCAACGGAACATGTTTCAGACAGATTTGATACGCTTCCGAAGTCAGTTTTTCAATTCCTTCTGTAGGACTTGTATTACTTAGAACAGTTCCCCATGGAATGTTTGTAAGTTCCCTGTTTATTTTCTCCCAGTCTATCCTTTTATTATTGAAATTGAATTTAGTGAATGACCCGTCTGGCTTGATCAAGGCTTTAGGTCTGTTCTGAGTATTGATGGTCGTTTGCTCTTCAATGAGCTTGTGCTCTGAGTATGTGGTATCTGATATCATAATGTCCCTGATTATGTCTTCATTGTTTGTAAAGACCAGGGGCCAGATTCACGAAAGCACTTACGCAAGCACTTACGAACCTGTACATCTTTCCTCAATCTTTGACGGCTTTGATTACATTTATTAAACAGTTTACAAGCATGGAAACTTCCCAATCAACTGTTGTTATTGTTATAAACAGCCTCCTGGTGCTTCGGAGCTCATTAACTGTTTAATGATTGGCAACAAAGCCGCCAAAGATTGAGAAAAGATGTACAGGTTCGTAAGTGCTTGCGTGAAGCTGGCCCCAGATATCGGGTATATCTTACGTCTGCGTTCTACAGCCGCGTTCTTCACCCTTCTTACACTTGCCGACCGGCGAAAATATGAGAAGTATTTCGCGGACCGACTGACGGCCAAGACCAATATAAACAATGTAGATTGGTTGAAATAAAATAGTATGTAGATAGTATTTTATTAAATTTAATGTTATATAATTAAAATGTTTATTTAGTGCGCCATCTGCTGCTTTGTTAGACAATGTGATATAGGCCACAGATGCCTCAGCGTTATATCTTTGTTATCTTGAGATGATTTCAGGGCTTTAGTGTCCCCGCGGCCCGGTCCTCGACCAGGCCTCCACCCCCAGGAAGCAGCCCGTGACAGCTGACTAACACCCAGGTACCTATTTTACTGATAGGTAACAGGGGCATAGGGTGAAAGAAACTCTGCATATCGTTTCTCGCCTGCGCTCGGGATCGAACCCGGGACCACAGGATCACAAGTCCAGTGTGCTGTCCACTCGGCCGACCGGCTACCAGTTATATCTGGCAAATGAAGCGCTCCATTAACATCATTCGTTGTCTGGGTTTGGGCTTATTACTGACGGCTGAAAAAGTCGCGTCACATACATATGAAATCTTAAGAAATTACTAACAATTTGATGACTTTATAACTCGGAGACGAATATTATTTCTCGAGTGATGTCCAAACTGAGAATGATTGATTGCCTTTTATGTCTGGACGCCAGAGTGACGTCAGAACACATCTCCGTTTTCTTTTCTACGAGGATCAAGTGCGCACGATTGTCTCCCAAGACGGGATTATTACTCCAGAGATTACCTCTACGACGATCCTCATTTACAGGTTAATAATAAAGTTTCCAGCTAACGCCCTTAAACGTTGACTTATTCTGTTGAATATGACTTTCTAGTTAACATCAACAGCAATCAAAAACTCTGCCAAGAGTGGAAACATTTCTCTATCTTCCTCTTGCACGCCACTCCCAATTAGCCAACATCTTCTGGAACACATCCATCATACATCTGTGTGTACAAATATTTGTACAAGATCCCTGAGGAGAAATATTACCTTCGTTAAGAAGGGTAAATATGGCCGCCATGTACACACGCTTGGCCGTCCATTCCTCTTTCAACAAAGGCTCTATTGGGTCAGATTTTCCCTCTCGCACAAACTGCTCTACTTCTTCCCTCAGTTGTGCAACAACTCCAGCTCTTCATAACCACCTCACTCCTGCCTGCAGGTGATTTGCTTGTAAAGAGGTAATTCATCGCCATCTCTGACTGCCTTTGAGCAGTCAGAGGTCAGTAATATTAAGGGAACATGAACACAATCTCGTAGATTTCAGAAGTGAAATTCACACAGTTATTCCATCTATCATTCTATTATGCAGGAAGAACCGCACGTCTATGGGTCATCCAATAAGGTTAGCAGACTTGTAGATGTTACCTCTGCTAGGCTTAGGCCGACGGAAGCCGGTCGGCCGAGCGGACAGCACGCTGGACTTGTGGATCCTGTGGTCCTGGGTTCGATCCCAGGCGCCGGCAAGAAACAATGGGCAGAGTTTCTTTCACCCTATGCCCCTGTTACCTAGCAGTAAAATAGGTACCTGGTTGTTAGCTGTCACGGGCTGCTTCCTGGGGGTGGAGGCCTGGTCGAGGACCGGGCCGCGGGGACACTAAAGCCCCGAAATCCTCTCAAGATAACCTCAAGATCGTCCGACACATTTCTGGCAGAAAATTTTGAAAATGTATAAAGAAACGACCTTTGTTCCAATGAACAAATCCACAAGGGCCGTGATGAGGGTTCGAACTTACGTCCCGGATAATCCCAGACGCGCCTTAGTCCACGACATTGACAACCATGTGGTGGCGCAGTCGACTAAGGAGCGTATGGGATCATCCCGGACGTAAGTTCGAACCCTCATCACCGCCCTTGTGGATTTGTTCATTTGATGTACCAAGCTATTGTGATTTGTGTGTGTGTACCTTACCTTACCTTAAGGTTACCTTCAGGTGCTTCCGGGGCTTAACGTCCCCGCAGGCCCTGTCGTCGACCAGGCCTCCTGGTTGCTGGACTGATCAATCAGGCTGTTGGACCAGGTGTAACCTGTGTATTGTACACCCAGCGGTACTGTATGTACATGTATGTATGAGCGTGTGTACATGTGTATAAAACATTGATAATTTTGTAACTAGCGTCAAACATTGTTATTTGCTTAGCTAAACGAACTAGAGGGTTCAGTTCCTGAACCCATTATGTGCCTCTGTAATCCTTTACACCACCGCCCACGGGATGGGTATGGGGTGCATAATAAAGAGAAATTGAATTGTAGCGAGGGGTCGAGTGGGTAGTTCATGTACGTTTATCGAGACAGTAAAATACATGTGGGAGGGGATAGAGGAGCTACGGCAATGTCTGGCCTTCTTGAGCAAATTTCTAAAACTCTTGAAAACATACATTAGTGGGCTGGTCCGTGTGGGTACTCACTCGCAGTTGTAGAGGATGGACTCGCCGATCTTGACGGTGAAGCAGGTGGCGCCGTTGAGGCAGTACCAGGCAGCGTAGGCAGGGGGGCAGGCGTACGTCTGGAATGTTATGTTGGGCCGCATGGTCGGTGATGGCGGCCGCGGCTTGGGCGTCGACCGCGACGAGCAGCCCTCTGAAACACGCAACACAACACTGGTTAGTACTTGCCCAGGTCCCTGGTCCCTGGTCCCTGGCCCCGGCCCCAGTCACGGCACGCTCCCCCCCCCGGGCCCCCGGCACCAGTCACGGCACGCTCCCCCCCGGGCACCAGTCACGGCACGCTCCCCCCGGGCACCAGTCACGGCACGCTCCCCCCCGGGCACCAGTCACGGCACGCTCCCCCCCGGGTCCCGGGCACCAGTCACGGCACGCTCCCCCCCGGGTACCAGTCACGGCACGCTCCCCCCCGGGTACCAGTCACGGCACGCTCCCCGGGCCCCCGGCACCAGTCACGGCACGCTCCCCCCCGGGCACCAGTCACGGCACGCTCCCCCCCCGGGCACCAGTCACGGCACGCTCCCCCCCCGGGCCCCGGCACCAGTCACGGCACGCTCCCCGGGCCCCCGGCACCAGTCACGGCACGCTCCCCGGGCCCCCGGCACCAGTCACGGCACGCTCCCCGGGCCCCCGGCACCAGTCACGGCACGCTCCCCGGGCCCCCGGCACCAGTCACGGCACGCTCCCCGGGCCCCCGGCACCAGTCACGGCACGCTCCCCGGGCCCCGGCACCAGTCACGGCACGCTCCCCCCCGGGTACCAGTCACGGCACGCTCCCCCCCGGGCCCCCGGCACCAGTCACGGCACGCTCCCCCCCCGGGCACCAGTCACGGCACGCTCTCCCCCGGGCACCAGTCACGGCACGCTCCCCCCCGGGCACCAGTCACGGCACGCTCCCCCCCCCCCCGGGCACCAGTCACGGCACGCTCCCCCCCCCGGGCACCAGTCACGGCACGCTCCCCGGGCCCCGGCACCAGTCACGGCACGCTCCCCCCGGGCACCAGTCACGGCACGCTCCCCAGGCCCCCGGCACCAGTCACGGCACGCTCCCCCCCCCGGGCACCAGTCACGGCACGCTCCCCGGGCCCCCGGCACCAGTCACGGCACGGTCCCCCCCGGGTCCCCGGGCACCAGTCACGGCACGGTCCCCCCCGGGTCCCCGGGCACCAGTCGCGGCACGCTCCCCCCCGGGTCCCCGGGCACCAGTCACGGCACGCTCCCCCCGGGTCCCCGGGCACCAGTCACGGCACGCTCCCCCCCGGGTCCCCGGGCACCAGTCACGGCACGCTCCCCCCCGGGTCCCCGGGCACCAGTCACGGCACGCTCCCCCCCGGGTCCCCGGGCACCAGTCACGGCACGCTCCCCCCCGGGTCCCCGGCACCAGTCACGGCACGCTCCCCCCCGGGTCCCCGGCACCAGTCACGGCACGCTCCCCCCCCCGGGTACCAGTCACGGCACGCTCCCCCCCGGGTACCAGTCACGGCACGCTCCCCCCCGGGTACCAGTCACGGCACGCTCCCCCCCGGGTCCCCGGCACCAGTCACGGCACGCTCCCCCCCCGGGTCCCTGGGTACCAGTCACGGCACGCTCCCCCCGGGTCCCCGGCACCAGTCACGGCACGCTCCCCCCGGGTCCCCGGGCACCAGTCACGGCACGCTCCCCCCGGGTCCCCGGGCACCAGTCACGGCACGCTCCCCCCCGGGTCCCCGGCACCAGTCACGGCACGCTCCCCCCCGGGTCCCCGGCACCAGTCACGGCACGCTCCCCCCCGGGCCCCCGGCACCAGTCACGGCACGCTCCCCCCCGGGTCCCCGGCACCAGTCACGGCACGCTCCCCCCCGGGTCCCCGGCACCAGTCACGGCACGCTCCCCCCCGGGCCACTCCTTTATTGTGCACCCCATACTGGTCCTGTGCAAGCTAGTGCACGAAAGGGTTACATGGAGCACGAAAGGGTTACATGGAGCACAAAAGGTCTCAATCAGACGTCAGTGGATTTCTTGTATTATTATGTCATGCAAGGTGTACTCGCAATTATAAAGACCCACTAACACACTTAGTCTTATCCTTAGTCTATATTGTCTTTACAATATACACCAGAAGCCAGGTCTTAATACCTACGATACTTAAAATACTGGATATTATATCATCGAACAATTATTATTATTAGTGATTCACACTAATACTATTACACCGCTTGTTCCTTAATCTCGTACATCAATTATCTATTTAAAACGGAATATGAATACAATGGAAGGATTTCTTATATTTTATTGTTTGCAGTTTGTAACACTGTAAAAGTGTTTGATTTAGTTTAATACATACATAGAGTACATGAGTCACAGAGAAGGATCTGAGAGGCGCCAGTTTGTCGGCCTGAAACTCACACCTCTAAGCGTTAATGACCCCAAGTGACCTGAGGTCAGATCATGCGAATTTCACCTTGCTTCTGCTAATCTCTTAGTTGGAGCCTGGTAGCCTTCAAACTTGCCGACGTTTAAGGAGTGGCTTGGTAGAGTGCCTTAGGCTATCTACTTGTGGGCGGAGTTAGTTACTAGGTTCCACAATAAATACTCGGAGAACTACCGATTCGACAGGATTAAGCATTAACAGACGGAACGGCAGTCAGCAGAGCAGAGGAGACGGCCCTAGCAGGGAGGCTGTCGGCCGGCAGGGCGGGAGTCTCTGTCAACTACAGACCCCCCCCCCCTCTCTATCCAGCTATAGGCAGAGACACTTGGTGAGTTGAGCAGTAATGTGACTTGGTCGTGTTTACATATGTTGTGTGATGATCAGGGGCAGTCAAGTTGTAGGGTTCTCGAATTCTTGGATGATGACTCACTTTGCATATTAAACTGGAACATTTTAATTGAATTGCTAAATTATGATATTTCATGTGAAATATAATTATGAATTTATTATTTAAATTGTGTTTAACTTTGTTCCCTAGAGTTTTGAGTTGAGGTGAGAAAGCCTCGGTGGTTACTAGATTCAAGATATTAATGAGTACATGTTTGGAGTTGATACATGGTACAGAAGGAACATACTAATAATGAACTCATGATAACATCTTTGGTGAATATTGTGATACAGACAAGTTCCATTCCTTGTCTTGAATGTAATGATCATGAATGGATGGTGGCAGCATTTCGTCTTCTACTATCTACTTCTACTAGCTACTCTTCTACTTCTACCTATCTACACCTCTCCCTCCACCCCTCTCTGAACTCTCACTTTCAACTAATGACCCTCCTCGCTCCTCCCACCTCTCTCCCTCTCACCCCAAACCCTCACTAATTACTTCACTATTCATTTCTTTCCTTTCGTTTTCTCTTATACGTTTGTGGCAGTGAATAGGTATTCTAGAGTTCTCTCTAGGGTTTCGGGTAACTGATCAAGTTACGGCGCCTTGTAGTCTTAGCACCTAGGTAGTCAAATACCTAGGTTACAAGGTGTTGAACGAGAGAGGTTGCCTTAGGAACTCTGGAGGGTGCTCTAGATTAGTTAGCTAACTGGGGACGGGATAACGGACTAGAGAGAGCTGTTTCCCCCGGCCTCGTTAGTTAACTGGGGGGTGGAATAATGGACAAGATAGAGCTATTTCCCCCACCCCCCGTTACAGTGTGCTTGTGTGCTTGTGTGCTTGTGCTTGTGTGCTTGTGCGCGCGCGCGCGTGTGTGTGTGTGTGTGTGTGTGTGTGTGTGTGTGTGTGTGTGTGTGTGTGTGTGTGTGTGTGTGTGTGTGTGTGTGTGTGTGTGTGTGTGTGTGTGTGCGCGCGCGCGCGCGCACTCTTCTATGCAGGCTATGCGTCACAACGTGGCTGAAGTAATTTGACCAGACCATACATTTCTCGTCCCTTCACCTTCTAGTGTGTGTGGTCTGGTCAAATGTACTCTTCTACTTCAACATCACAGTTCTGTTCTAACGACACCGAAGAGTTCTATTTGATAGCCCACATTATCACCTTCCTCCAGTTAAATCTAAGAAGTTTGATTGACCCCTTATGAAGTATGCGTATATATCTGGTCTTGTATATCTTTTGTATAATCTCTCCGAAGCAAGACGTAATAGAGACGTTACAACTTTATTCTAAGGTATTTAATGTGGAAAGGAACTTTGAAATGATTAAGGTGCATATTAAGTTTTCATTATTGGAGTGTGTTACCAGGAGAGCCAACAGTTGAACTTGCAAGGTGCAGGTCTTGCAGCCCAGCTCCATTCTCCTGTTCTGTTCGCTTGGGCTGCCATCAGGCTGATGAGCAACAATAGCACATCACATAACAGAATCATTCCTCGGGGTATAACCTGGTTGATGGGGTTCTGGGAGTCCTTCTACTCCCCAGTAGTAGAGGAGTAGTACTCCTCTACTACTTGCGTCAGCCAGAAAAATGATAGGATGGATTACGAGAACTTTCAAATCCAGGGATCCCATCACAATGGTTGTACTCTTCAAGTCACTTGTCTTGTCCCGTCTTGAGTACTGCTCAGTACTCACTTTCCCCTTCAGAGTAGGAGAGATTGCTGAAATAGAGGGAATACAGAGAACATATACGGCACGCATAGACGCGATAAAGCACCTAAATTATTGGGATCATCTCAAAGCTCTCCAAATGTACTCACTAGAAAGGAGACGAGAGAGATATCAAATAATATACACCTGGAAGATACTAGAGGGCCAAGGACCAAATCTGCACAGTAAAATAACAACATACTGGAGTGAACGATATGGAAGAAAATGCAGAATAGAACCAGTGAAGAGCAGAGGTGCCATAGGCACAATCAGAGAACACTGTATAAACATCAGAGGTCCGCGGTTGTTCAACGTCCTCCCAGCAAGCATAAGAAATATTGCCGGAACAACCGTGGACATCTTCAAGAGGAAACTAGATTTATTCCTCCAAGGAGTGCCGGACCAACCGGGCTGTGGTGGGTATGTGGGCCTGCGGGCCGCTCCAAGCAACAGCCTGGTGGACCAACCTCTCACAAGTCAAGCCAGGCCTCGGGCCGGGCTTGGGGAGTAGAACAACTCCCAGAACCCTATCAACCAGGTAGCAACCAGGTATCAACCAGATGACACGAAGCTGTGACTTGTATTTTTGTCTATATCTCATATGAGAATAAGGAACAGCAGTGGTGCA